AAGGTCTCTCACCGACGAGGCGAGAAGACATCTCTTCTGTTTTCTCTTTTCCAGCCCGCTGGAGGGAACCTGGCTAAAAGAAACTGAGAAAACGCAGTGTTTGGAGCCAAGAACACCCGCCGACAACACAAAAATCTGGACGCTCGATTGGCAAGGGCCATTATTCGTCCTGTGCAGACTGGACTAGACTGGACTCTTGTTTCATACACAATCGAATACCGAGTAACAGACAACTTCTCCGTGGACGTCCGTCCATCAAAGAGCAATAAACCAAACGCCAGAACCCGGGCTACTCGAAAACTTCGATTCCCAAGTCCATCAATCTACGTAACCTGACCTGAGTGACCGCGTCAATCGGTTGAACCACGGAGTGGACGCTGCACACTTTCGAAAACCTCGATGGCGGTAGGTTGGCGATTTTTTTCCAGCGATTAATCCATCTGAAGAATATTTTGCGGCCCAGATTTTTCGATGTCCTGTTAAAGGGCTCAAGAAGGCTCTCCACATCCGGAAGATCTTTTGCGGACCTCAATCTCACATTCGCTTCCACGGCCCGCGTGTTTTATGAAAATAAAGTCGTTCGGCAGGTGGATGTGCCAACGCTAACTGGTCGCTTTGGCATATTAGCCGAGCACGTTCCCACTATTGGTTGCCTAAAGCCGGGCATTGTAACAGTAACAGAAGAGGATGGCTCGGTCAAAAACTATTTTGGTAAGCGCATGCTCGTGAGACTAACTACTAGAGATATCTCACGTTCACCTTGTCCCAAAGCTCTTTGAATTATCCATTCCCCTCGTATTTCACACTCATTTAAATCTTTATTTAAGTGAGCAATAGCGACCAGACAAAATTCCTCTGAAAGCAGAACCAGTTTCGCGATTTAAGTGCTTATCGCAAGGTTACCGTGATACTTCGTGGAGACGGTGTTTTCTTTCGATTGTTCTCCAAGATTAAATTAACGGCATTATGATAAGTTATGTGAAAAGAGTAAATGGGGAAATGACGTCAAAGATGCACAGGACGCGTTCATGTGGTTGGTAGTACGAATTGCGAATATGCAACTGTGCTTCCTAGGGAGTACTATCCACCAGTAATCCCAGAAATTAAGGTGAAACCTTAAATGGGTAAGTTGTTACTGAGCTAGGTGACATTAAAGCCCCATGTAAAACCGCCCGAACTGGACTTTAACCTACTTTCTTTACCCTCAGACCCTCCTGTCAAATGGCTAGCTACTCTGAGGCAACTTAGTGGAAGGACAAATTGAATTGATGAAAAAAGCGTGAAAGATACTCTGAATGTGTTTTTTGTTTCATCGCTTGCTTCTCTAAAGTCTTCTCAATGGATCTTTTTGGACTTACTGATTCATTACTTGATTATAAAATATTCCTGATAGCTATCCCACACTCAAAGGAGGTTATCAGCCTATACTCCACTTCACAAGCAATGATGATGTCATCTCGGCTGGTGATGAGACGTTTGCGATCAATTTGCCATGCTCGGCGAACAGGCGAAGTGGAATACTCCACTCGTGATACAAGTTATTGAAGTGAAAAACAAACAGTACAATCGGCAGAATTATACCAAAGCCATAAGGTAACGTGGAACGGCCTATTGACTGCAGTTTGAATATACGTTATGTTCACCGTGACTCTTTATGATAAGCTAAACTATTCCGCACGTTCGACTTTATGCAGACTTGTAAGACATGAAAGACGATTCTGCCTTCCCAGTGGTCGTTGCTCTACTGGTAATTCAGGATATCTCTCACTAGTTTGAATCATTCCTATGGATACTAATCTCATCCTTAAGCAATAAAACATATTTTCCATTTTTACTAGTGTCGTTCAACTCGTACGTTTTCTTGGGTGTCATTCTAATTTCGGTAGATAATCCGGCGGCACCCTTTGACGTGACGGTTCATGACGTTTAACCGTTATTCTGTTGTATCCAGTAAAAAGGCGATCGAAACGCGGTTGACTAACCAACCAAGACGCGCCTACCATTCCTGAACATGTGACCTTATGACTCCAACCATGTTCTTCCGCATCTCGCCTTCACTTAACACGACACATCTAGACCGGGATGAAAATTTTTGGAATCTTGGGTTACTGATTTAGTTACTTTAATGAGGGCATTCGAAAGATGTGTATTCTTGAGCGAATATTTGGGCTCCGCTTGTTGTGGTCATTACCAAACCAACCATCGATATCATTATTAAGCATTTTTCCCCTTGTGTTGGAATATAAAGATGATTGAAGTCCTTTTGCCAGCTGAAACTTTGCAATTTTCTTTTCTCTTTGCAGTTAGCAGTGGGATTGTGACCGTCAACAGTGATTCCACAGTACAAGTTCTTGCCGAAGAAGCTGCAACGCTTGATCAGCTTGACTCACAGGCAATCCGGGAGGGATTAACTCGAGCTCAGTCAGAATTGGTTTCGGCGCAGTCAGAAGCAGCCAAGGCAGAAGCACAGATAGCAGCCGAAGCTTACGAGGAGCTGTCAAGAGCTGTGGAAAACCGCTCCTAAATTTGCTCTGCGGAATATTCGAGTTTTATTTGGTGATGCAGAAAGCTGGTCTCTCATAGCTGTTTTCAGAAAAAAAGTCTTAGCCTGTTTCACGCGTTTTGGTCCTAAACACCGTTTAGTTTACCGGTCGGGTTGAAAAATCCATGAAGATAAGTGCTTGCGGATGAGAGAAAAATGTTCCATACACTCACTTTTAACTTCATTTATCACTCGAAGTGAACATGCTTATTACTTACTCATTTGCTAACAATTGGTTCTGCTTCGTAGCTTAGCATCTGAGTGTGTACGCCTTGGACTCACCACTAAATCCGTATTGCACATTATAGTGTGGCAGACATTTGAATGAATGTAACTCATGGTTAGGTGGAGTAGGTGTCTCTCGTCTTCTCGGTCGGGGTCCAAAAGATTCTGCAATTGGTTAGCTGGAGACATCGGATGATATAGCAATCAGCCGAGAACAGTGGTGTTCTTGATGTCACTTCTTATCAGGACAGAAGGATTGAAAAGGTTTATATATGTAGTTAGGTCGTGTGCTCTGTATTGCTCATGGTGGTTCAATTTCTTTGCTTCCTTCCCGTTAGGCCCGATCAATGTTCGTCTTGTGTACTCTCACTCACTTTGTGTACATTGTGAGCTCGGCGGCGATCAATAATTTCAACTTCACTGTACGATGGTGTTGATGATGAGCTCGTGGTTACAAAGTCTACTGATTTCACCACCAGATCTCGGAATACACAGTTACACCTTGTCGGGAATTTGAGAAGACCTTGGTACAGAATGGTAGTTCGCTGTTTCATTGAGACCGTCATATAGTTCTCTAGTCCAGATCTCCAGATTTTGGTCATTTCGTTTCGTGATGGAGCAGTAGATCATTGTGACTAATGTTTGTCCATTCCATGGTTTGTCAGATTTAAGGCTTTAATTGAAAGGTGTAAATGATACTTGATTACCTGTTCGAATCCTCATAGTCAGCTGATTAGGTGGTTTGATACATCATTTAGTATTGATAAGTGCCTGGTGGGTAGTGCTGCTGTTTGTACGTTCATTTAGACGTCCGTTTACTCACACTATGCCTTNCCTTTGTCTGGAGATCAATTTGGATGGGCCTTTCTGAAACTCTACGCGTTATGGGCAACTAAGTCAGACTGCAGGGGAAATTGCCCTGACTACTATCCCTCACAACAGCTGTATTACCAAAATAACCTCAGACTTGTGGATTTCGATCATTAGTATCTGCATTCTATCCATTAGCGAAAGTAAGGCGATATCCGGCGCTTCTAATCCATTATCCCTTCTACGCGGTTGCATCATCTTCATCTCTGGTCTTTCGGTCACTACCCGCTTTGAAACCGAGGAGGAGTTCTGCTGCCAGTACTGCTTTCGGGGTGACCCTGCCGTCTCATCGGTCAATTGAAGACATGAATCGTCAGCAAAAGATGTAAACACTTAGGCCTGCAAGCGTTCTATGGCTTCCATCGTTCTAATAGGGACTTTCACTCTTACCACTGAATATGGCATGCCTGGACTAACATGGTGAAGCAGTCATTCTCACACATAGGCGGTAGTCGTATACACTTCCAAAGGTGGCTTATGAAAGCTTACTGTAACATTGTGCCCTTAAATTACGCAATCGCGCAGTGTTGTTGAGTCTGTTAATCACCACAAAATGAAACAGCTGAATATAATATGATATATCAACGCTCATTGATGGACGAGATTTAACATGAACTGTCATGATTACCCAAGTCGATCTGGTGATCTGTCTTATTTTCTACACGTACCAGTCACTTGGTAAACTAGTTACTTATGATACTGCAAATAAGCCGCTAAACACATTTTTGGCTTTCGTTCACTGTTACGTCTAACTCACTGCGTAATGCACGATGTCACCTTGGGTATCGTTCTTATTTCTTCATTATGAATGAGGTAAAGAATTTCAGTTGCGTTTTATACAAATGGGTGTCATACCATTCTTTTCTTTGCATGTGATATTTCAAAGAGCACTAATAATCTATGATTGGTTTAGAGCCTCACCACTGAATGTGTGTAAATCTCGTATAAGAATAAGGAGCACTGAATTTGTGAAGCAGCTTTACTAAAAGGATATTGGTTGATAGTGAAGTGGAGAATAAAGTTCAAAACCTCACGAATAAAAGGGGTTAAACCAGCGAGGAAGAAAAACCTAAAGCAGCGTTCAAATAAGCCACCAAGATGTGATGTATTGGCTTTTGCAACGCTATGATCTCGAGAAACAAAGGATGGTTCTGTCAAACCGAAAGATATCATCATGCCTAGAAAATAAGATTGGAGAGGTCAGATGAAGTCCGCTCCACTGAGCGTGTTTGATTGGAGTTGGCTTCTCTGTCTGTAACAATAACAGGAATGATCGATCTGTGTAAATGGGCCTCCACTTCCCGCTGCCTCGCGACTAGGTTCTTGTTCGAACCGAATGCTGAAGCTGTGAACCCTAATTGTTCTGCTTATGGGTTCAACTGCATCGATAAATGTACTTCAAAACTCAATCAGTATGCAAACTTCTGATCGTCGCGCTTTTAAATCGCATCGAATGGGTGGGTGGTGATGAATGGTCTATTCCTCAGACATGCAGTTG